CTTGTTTGTTTGTTGGCACTTTGCAGAGAGATTTCGAGGCGCTGGAGGAAGCAGGAGAATGATTTTTTTTATTTTTTTTGTTCAAAAAGGGAAAAATGATAAATAAAGGGGTGGATATGAAGAAGACACGTGGCATAAGATGAGATGAGTGAAGCAGATGTTCGAGCGTTTTGATTGGTTGTTTAGTACATGTCATCGTGTTATCAGAGCCACAAAGAGGCGATTTTTTTTGTTCTTACATTTTAGTAAAATGATTTTACTATTATTTTAACCCTTGATTTTACACAAATGATAAATCCGAATTTACTATTGACTTTTTTTTACGCATGTGTCATATTTTATGTACTGTATTTCATTTAATTAATGGTTAGTGTGGATAATAAAATCACACACATTTTCTTAATTCGAATAACAAAAAGAAAACTACACAATTAACGATCTCATTTAGAGATATTTATTTATGAAGTATTGAGCTAGCATGTTGATTAGTGAAGTTTAGCAAAAAAAAAGTGTTGATTAGTGAAATCAATATAAATTGGATTAGATTACAAATAGGCTTTGGAGTTAGATTGATCAAATTATTGGCAGAATTATAAATTTATCGGTTTAGATCCCAGATCAATCATTAACAAAAATAACACTGAGCTAATCCAAATTTTAAAATTATCAAATGTCAAAAATGTAAAGGTAGAGTAGAAATTAGTACTAGAAAAAAAGTAATCAAAACAAAAGGAAATCCCAGTGTGGCTGATCATCCTCTCGGACCAAGCGAAATGACATAATCCATCAAAATTATTTAACATGTTCTGGAAGGACTTCCGAAAGTCCCTATGAAAATTTAGAAAGCCGAAACTTTGATAGAAAAAAGAATCCGGAATGGAATGATTTTGAATATCGATTCATTAGTAAAAAACCTTCGNCTACTTTTGAATTATCGAAACAAGAACTTTATGTACAGTTAATCAAACCATATTAATTTTAGAAATATATACTGTAAAAACTGGGTTTCATTATATCAAAAAAGTATTCGTATAAATAGATAGATGACATCAATGTTTTAAAAGTATATATAAAAAAACTAGTGGAATCCAATGAACTTATTAAATTCCTTAAACCAACATAAGTCAATTCAAAAAGTTTTTTTCTAGAAAAGAAATTAGAATCCATTGAACTTGAAAATCTTAAAACCAACATAAATCATATCAAATATTTTGCGTAAGTATTTTTTTCTATATCAAGCTAATTAAACCAGTTGTAAAATGGTAAATTTTAAAAAAGTCAGATTTACCCCAAAAAGAGGAAAAAAGTTCGAAATTCGAAACTTTTTATTTTTGCACTAACGAAGCGGCGAAAAATCTTTCAAGTTAAATACTTTCTCAAAGTTCCAAACTGACCCCAAAAGTTATGTTTATTCGCTATGGACGCCCTCCTCCTCCTCTCTCCTTCGCCGGAACCCCAAAATCAAATCACCGACCCGGCGAATATAATCGGGGAAGAATTCAGTAATGAAATTATGGAGAAGGAGAAGAAGACGAAGCCATCGACTTTAGGAAAGAGAAAGCTTATTAATAAGGGAAAGAAGAAAGTGAACGACGAAACG